AGAGGAAGAGAGGGAGAGAGGGAGAGCGGGAGAGAGGGAGAGAGGGAGAGAGGGAGAGAGGGAGGGAGGGAGAGAGGGAGGGAGAGAGGGAGAGAGAGGGAGAGGGAGAGAGGGAGAGAGGGCGAGAGCGGGCCAGCGAGAGCCGGCGAGCCAGAGCAGGCGAGGGCGAGAGCAGGCAAGGGCGGGAGAGAGAGAGAGAGAGGCAGAGAGACAAAAAGACAGAGAGACGGACAGAGACAGATGATGGAGAGATCAGGGACAGAGGCAGAGACAGAGAACCGAGACAGAGACCGGATTAGGGAGAGACAGGAATAGAGCCAGACAGACACCGATGGGAAATGGGGGGACGGGGTTCTCACAGTCTGAGCATCCGCGCCCCAGGAGGGCGGCCAGGTCTCCAACTATGGCTGTCAGCAGTCCTTAGAGAGGCTGGCACTGGCGGAGAGAAAAAGAGACACACACACACACACACGCGCGCGCGCGCGCGCGCGCGCGCGCGCGCGCAGAGACACACACCTACAAGGCCCCCTTCAGGCTGGACCTGGGGATCCGATCAGGCCCTCAACCTCAGGGCAGCACCGATGCCACCAAGGGAGCAGAAGAAGCACAGCCACCCATCGCAGAATCCAGGTGGTGGAATCACCCTGAACTTCACACGGCTTCACTTGATCTTGCATGGCATACAGCCAGTCCGTGCCGGACTTGGTGTCAAAACACTACGAACACTGAGACCGCAGCGAAAAGAAAATCTTCCAGGGAACCCCGAGCACCTCCAGCTATGGGCCATACATCCACAGGAGCATGTAAAAATCGAACCAGCTTATGAATGCAGTTCTCCAGCACGAAACTGGGCTGGCAGTCGGGTTCCCCACCGCAGTCAACGCCATGTTGATATACTGCATGCACCCTCTCCTGGCTTAAAGCGACCAAGACTGGACCAAGTCGGGAGCCTTCGGCCTCTGAAAACCGGCAAGATCCCTGTTGTCTCGGGCAAGAGAGGTGCCACCAAACTTCAAACGAACCCAGCAGACTCCTCTTCTCTGCAGGAGCGCTCTGCTCCTGGCCATCCTCCTCCTCCTCCTCGTCGTCGTCCTGCCCAACCCGATGGCCAGAGGCGCCGAAGTTCCGAAGGGTTCGTCTTGGTGCGATCATAAACGCTTCCCACACGCAGGACTTCCCAAAAACTCGGTGACAAACCTGTGTCTACCTGGCGCAAGCCTGAAACGACTCAACCCTGCGGGCCGTGAGTTGGACGGCTTTGATGATCTGCTCCTTCCAGGCTGTCCAGTTGGACCTGACACAACAGGAGCTACGTCTCGGCATGGGGCCTCGACTTGCTCGTGACTCTTAGAGCGGGACTTGGCCGTGTGGGCCTTGGTCCAGTTCACTGCCAAAGCGCTGTGAATTCGTAGGATCCTCTCCTGGCCGGCAAGTTGGCACACTCGCATGCCGAAAGCCTCTGCGAAGGGGACTGCACGTTGAGGCATCGTCGCCCTCCAAACAGAAGGAGCCGACTCACCGGCGCCGCTTCGAGTGCGACTCGCCGCATAGGCAGCCCGAAACTTGCTGCGATCTGAGGATGCATCTCTCGGTTAATCGGTGTGGCTGCGCGATTGGAATCTCGAGAACGGGCGTCCCGAAAGCAACTAGAGCAGTGAGTGAGACCGAGCATGACCTCATCCGTCCATTCATCCATGCATCCATTCAGCCAGTCATTCATCCATCCATCCTTCATCCGCCCATCCCTCCATCCATACATCCATCCATCCTCTCATATCTGCACGCCATCATCCACATTGCATGCAATCATCCATCCATCCATCCATCCATCCATCCATCCATCCATCCATCCATCCCCACACACACACATTATTCCATCAACCCTCTATAGAAACCCTGGACGAATCGGATCCAAAACACAGATGCACTGCGGCCTCACGACAATACCTGTATAAAGCATGTTTTAAATCCCTTCTATAAAGCCTTCTGCAAATCCGTTTAGAAGCCCCTCTAAAAACAAACGTTCCTGAGAGTCAGAAACAACCTCACGAAAACCAAAGAGCCAACCGACCTCACGAAAACCAACGCCATGCAACCTCACGCCATACTTCCTCACGACAACCTAAGAGAAACTGCTTCCCCCGCACGTGCTACCAGGATTCAGAAGCACGGCCAGAATGCTTCCCCAAAAAAATCTTGGCGGAGTCATTAACACGAACATGCAATTTCACAGCATTCCGAAGGTGAAATCAGAATCACCACACGTGCTCGTCTGCACCACATGGCGGCCTGTGTCTTTGGAATTTATTAATGACGCTCAACACGGATGCACCGCATCCGTCGCGGCCCCGCACGCAGAGTGCGATTATTTCGATCATGACCACGCGAAATCGGCAACGCGACCGACATGCATGCCGGATTCAAGCGGGACTCAGGAGCACGAAAACATGTCTCCCCCATGCACTGGCGGGATTCAACGGACGAGGACAAACTCGACGCGGACCGCACGCACGGCTTCAGGAGAGGGCTACATCATGCTACATCAATTCGAGGCCACCTTCAGGCCAATGTATAATTAGCCTGTGGACGCTGTGCGAGAGGGTTGTCGTTGTCAATTCGGTACACGAAACGTCACCGCACCCCGCGTGCCGTGCCATCGGACGATCGCACATGCCCGAGATGACCGAGAAGGTTGTCAAATCCAGACCAAGGTGAGGCCACTGTATCGGAATTTACAACGGATCGCGCTGACCGAAGGATGCGGGCACACGAGACGGCGTCTTGCGCGCTTCCATGGCTTTTGTTTCTCCAGGGGCAAACGTTGCTGGGAGAGCGCAAGCCCCAGAAAGCTCGAAAAGCAGAAGCACTCGAAAAGTCGAAAAGTCCCCGAAAGGGCAACATGTCGAAAAGCCCTTTGAAGAACGTACCAACGCACGAAAAGTCTACTTGAAGTCGAAAATTCACTTGTCCACCGTTTGACGCTTCGTGAATTGATTCGGTTCTCCACTTTTCGAAGCTTTGCAGCAGACGGCTGCTTGTGTGCTTACAGGCCCTGAGCACCATATGGTACGTAGTTTGCTTTCCTAGGAGTATTGCTGCAATACCAACGACAGCTTTCGCTTGTTCTTCGATTTTTGCGAGTATTAATACTAGCCTTAGTCTGATGTAGCTGTACTTGTGATACCACCAGCGCTATTCTGAACTAAGGATGCCTGTACGGCAGGGTCCGGCTGGATTACCACTGTGGCCATGCACAGATCGCGTCCACCTGGGCTTGGAGCTCCGTGCAGGGGAGAAAGGGTTGTAACGGTACCTGCTTTCCCTCAGCTACAACTTCAAGGCCGCCGGCTCTGGTGCTCTACAATCTCACGGACTTCGAAGCAAAATCCACTAACCCAAAGCTTCCCTCGAACGATGTGTACTTTGCAGGCAACGGTCCTGCAGAATCCTACACTGCTACACCGTCCCGAGCTTTCCAGTCCCGCGGAGGCCTTCGGTGGATGCATCGAACTTTGCACCGCCAGTGATGCTTGACAGTACGATGCGAACCGTGCTCGACAGCCTCGGAATCTGGCAGCGAAGAGTTGCAAGTGATCCAAGGAACACAGGAAGGCTCGGAGCAAAGCTGCAGCGCGCATCTTGCTCTAACATTGAAGAGAAACGCAGCAGAACCTTAACAGGAACCATGGTTTAAGGCAGAAATGACGCAGCTGGTATGAATAAGACAGTCACTGTCAGAACGGGTCTCCCCACCACGAACCTAAAGTACCTAAAGCCTGGCATATACTATGGCTATCTGGCCTCAAACCTAGAAGCCCTGGACTATCAACGTGCCAAGGTGTGGGATATCTCGCAACTACGACCGGAAAACGTCTCTTTGTTCTGATGACCTGAACATGAGTGCGGGACTGGTACCGACCAGCGGGGAGGACGGTCAGCGGAAGTTTTGCCACCATCTGACCGTGCTCAAACCTCAAGTCGCAGTGACACAAGCAACATATGAGGTACCAATCAAAGGTACGGCTAACAAAAACCCTCGGGAACGGTGTGCAACCGGGCCCGTGTCAGTAAAAACCCTGCACAAACACTTGCAAGTGTCTTGGGGGTTTGGCTCGAGCACGCCACTGCCAGCAGCATAGTGCGTTCCGGCCTCTGTAGGAAGTGGTTCGAAGTCTTTTGTGCGGTTTGGACCGACTGAGGGTTCAGCTTTTGGGGTTATTTTCCCTAGGTTGCACTAACCCACGGTGCAGCCTCTGCGACTTCGATTGCAACTGGCATCCCAAGGCTGAGACTGGACTAGCGCAAGGAAACCCAACACTGAGCTTCAGCATTAGACTCATTAGACATGACTCTGCGAGCCGTCTTGAGGAACTGCGACACACCCGCCTTCGCCGTGTTATCTTCTGTGCGCCAGGCACAAGCGACCTCGGTGGCTGTCGAGAAGCAAAGGCACGGAAGGGATGTGCGCTTCAAGTCACTTGAAGACGGAGCCGCTCAAGTGATTTTGAAGCAAGACGTCTCGCTGTGCAGTCGGGTCCCATATTTCGCCGTAGTCACTCACACACACACACACACACATGCGCATACACGCCGGATGAGCGTGAGGTCACAGCACAACACTATAGGCAAACAAGTAATAACAAGTACACATGTGCTACTGCGAAATGTTTTGTTGGGTATACGAATACACTGTACGTAAGTAGGCGGTCAGTCGATCAGTGGGGCTTTGCAGGCATGTCTGCACACGCACATTTACCCCATGGCGCTAGAAGCCCCAAGGTTGGCTCACCCGGAACCGGGCCTTCCCGGCAGCACCGTGTCTGCGCAGGACCGTAACTTCCAGGACTTTCTCCTGTCAGAAGTTTGGCAATCAAAAGCAGCATTCAATAGTTGGTACTTGACACCAAATCACGGCTGCAGCGGTGGTGGCTGGCACCTTGCCTCGGTACTTCTAGTAGTAGTACTAGTTACTAGTAGTGGTAGGAGTAGGAGTAGTAGTAGTAGCAGTTGCCGTAGTACCAGTAGTAGTAGTTGTTGTTGTCGCAGTAGGAAGTAGTAGTAAGAGTAGTAGGAGTAGTAGGAGTAGTAGGAGTAGTCGCGGTCGTCGTCGTCGTAGTAGGAGTCGTAGGAGAAATATGAGGAGGAGGAGCAGGGGTAGGAGTAGGAGCAAGAGTAAAAGGTAGGAGCAGTAAGTAGTAGCTTAGCAGGCAGCAGGCAGTAGCACGAAGCAGGAAGCAGGGAGCAGGCAGTGGCTGGCAATGGTAGTGGGGCGGTATCGGTAGTGGTAGCGGCAGCGAGTAGGGGTAGTAGTGGAAGTGGTAGTCGTGGTAGTGAAAGGTTGGTTGCTGTTGCTGTGGTAGGTGGCGGCATAATATCACCGTTCTCGTGCCGACATCCCAGAACCCCCAACCCGGAACATCCGGACCCAGATCCGGAACGCCGGACCAGGAACACCCGGACCGGGACGCAGGAATCGAACCCGGGACCCGGCACCCGGGGCCAGGACCCTCAGCGCAAGAAAAACGATACCCCCGTTGCTTGTGCTGGTGCTGGTGCTGGTGCTGGTGCTAGTGCTGGTGCTGGTGCTGATGCTGGTGCTGGTGCGGGTGCGGGTGCTGGTGCTGGTGCTGCTGGTGCTGCTGGTGCTGCTGGTGCTGCTGGTGGTGCTGGTGCTGCTGGTGCTGCTGGTGCTGCTGGTGCTGCTGGTGCTGCTGGTGGTGCTGGTGCTGCTGGTGCTGCTGGTGCTGCTGGTGCTGCTGGTGCTGCTGGTGCTGCTGGT